CAGGCGGGCGGGCGGGCGGGCAGGTGAGGCGAGGCAGGCCGCCGTGGAGGCGCGCGCGCAACCGGGCGTGATGCGCCCGTGACGTCGGTTCCGTCTGAGACCTTTAATCCCTCTGCCGCAGCAGCCGAGGAGCGAGGAGGGGGGCAGCCAGCAACCGACGTGGACCGCACAAGCTAACGGCGAGCAGGAGCCCCCCCAACACTCACCCACTTCTGTTATTAAAAAAAAAAAAAAAAGAACGCACACTCGGTGGGTCGTGGTTGAAAGCTCGCCATATCGACCCAAACCAAAGCGGTAGCCGGTGCCGGTTCCGTACAGGCCAGGGCCCCCTCCCTCCCTCCCTCCCTCCCCCGCCGCCAGACATCCTCCCTCCACATTGTCATCATTTTCAAGCGTAACGAGGCGGATCGGGGCTACAAAGCATGCAGGATGAGCCTGCGGGGCTGACACGCACTCCGACGCCGCCGTCCACCGACCAGGAGCCCGCCAGCCGCGGCCGAGAGCCGGTGTCAACCGATCGCCGCTGCCCGGTGCCGCCGGATTACGAGCAGCGAGGCTTCCGTCCGACGCGGCCCGCCCGTGACCTTCAGATCGGCCGGGAAAGACAGCGGCGATCCGGCGAGCTCGCCCCCGAGTCGGCGGGCCCTTCCTCGCCCCTCGACCCGCGGGAGGACGCCGCCGATGCCGCGACGCCACCGCCATCCCCGCCGCCGACTTTCGTGATTTCGTCCCGCGCCGTCCCAATGGACTCCCCCGTGGGCCACCAAGTCAACAACGGCAATGACTGTAACATGTTGTCCGGAGGTCTGGTCGCCGCCTTCCCGGAGATGCAGAGCACCGGCGGCGGCGGCGGCTCGTCCTCGCCCTCCCTCGCGGGCTTCGGCCCGCCTTGGTCGGTGCAGACGTGCAGCTCGTCGCCCCCTCCTCCTCCTTTTCCTGCTCCCCCGCCTCCTCCCGCTCCACCTGCGCCCGCATGCACCTCCGCCGACAGCAGCGGCGGCGGCGGCGGCTTCTACGGGGGGATGCCGTCACCCTCCGTCAATCCGGCTTTCTACCAGGGTTTCTCGGCTAATCCGTGCTCCGGGATTAACGTGCAGGGTTTCGGCGGGCCCTTCTCGCCGCAGATCCGCCGCTCTCCCATCAACCCGCAGATGCACAACCAGCAGGGCGCCTTCCTGCAGCAGAGGAACAACTACAACCAACATCAGGTGGGCCCCAGACATTATTGCCAGACATATCCCAGCCTCAGATAAATCGCGATTAATCATTCGCGGTATCATTTTTTTTTCACTGGGTTCTTCATTTATCGAGGCAAGTTGTTCGAGTTGCTCGCTTTCAGTGCAGTACCGCGTTGTGCCGCCAACACGCCAGGCAGCACTGAAATTTACTGGAAGAGATGCAGTGTTTTAACCGCAAGAAGAAGGGGCAGAGAAGGTACCCCCAAAAGAGTTCAAACTCCTGTTTTGCTTCGTCAGAGATCCTTGCGACTTTTTAATGTGTCCTAATATGATACATTGTTATAATTTCATCATACTGTACCACTGTCAACAATACAGGTACTTCCCAATTTGCACAAATTACTGTAATCTTCTTCTTCTTCTCCTTTCGGCACGTCCCTATTCAGGGGTCGCCACAGCGAGTCAGTAATTTCCATCCGCCCCCGTAAACCGTCCTACCAACTCGCATGGTCGTCTTGGCAAAAGATGCCATTCGGATGCCATTCCTGACGCAACCCTCCCCATTTCTCCGGGCTTGGGACCGACACTGGGGAACAGTGCACCCCCAGGGGAGGGCACTGCCCCCCAGCGGCTGGGTTGTCAATGTCTATGTATATCACCGTCTCATATTTGCAGAGTAGCTCTTGGATTGCCATTACTACGTCATTTGCAAAGCAGAATCCACTTGGCTCATCTTTGTGCGCATGGTGTAATCCTCCACTCCAATTAATAACTTTGTCGTGCTTTCCACAGTTCAGGAGGAAGGCTCCATTGATTGATGCACTTGAATATCTTTCTGCGTATTCTACTATTCCCTCAAAATGAGGACAATCTTCGGTTTCTTCATTCCCTAGATTCTTGATGTACTCCTTGGAATGATAAGTGAGGTTTACCCGAGAAGGAACATAAAGATCCATCTCTTTATCTATATTAAATGTTCGGACTAAAGAATGTGTCATTGATATTCTTATGGGATTCATAGGATGACCCTTTCCACAATTATGCAGTCCTATTGTATCATCATACATGTAGGCAACTTTCATGGGTATAAAAATGTAAATATTTTATTTTCATCTTAGGGCAGCACAATAAGTGTAAGGTAGGGGCAAACTCTTTAGCATATTTAAGGAGTTTTTTTCAAACCTATATTTTATAAATGCAATGTGCATGATTTTTAAGCCCTCCTGGAGATGGACGAACACACTTGTTATAGACAAGTTTTGTAGCAAGGGACTTATAACGAATTAAATAGAGCGTTGTTAAAAAAACAAAAATTCTACATTCGCTTACTCTGCAACAAGGGTAGAGTCTGACCGAAAAGTATCTCGACTGGGTCTAGAACACCTATTGCTACTTTAACTGCATTTTGAAAATTTGACCCCATAATTCTTTAGAAATGACACAGTGCAACCAACCACCAATGAATAGTTAGAAAATACAACACAGGGGGTACAATCGTGCCTAGACAACCGGCTGTACGGGATTTAGGCAATCATCAATAAATTACACTCTTGCACTTATCACGATATTTATAGCCACTGGTCACATACTTGTGCCAGAATAAGACACTTATTTTCTAAAATTGAAGATACATTGCCTATGTTCTATAAAAAGAGTAAAGTAAGACGGAGTTCCATTTATTGGAAAAGAGTTTTCATGGCTAGGCTTATTATTGCTTGAACGTGTGTTGTTCTTATGCATCATTTTTTGAAGAATGAGTCAAAAACATTGTAAATAGTACTCGAAGTCATCCTGCTTTTGTGATTATATCTCGCTGCTAATGGCCAAAAAGAGATTAGCAAGACTATGAACCACATTTCTGTTTTGAAATGTCCTTTTTGTATTTGTGAAAACTGGCGTATCATTCAGAGATGTTTACAATTACAACTCAAAGCCCCGTCATTTTAGGAATGCGTTTTGTAATAATATCAAATTAATAACAGCAAATATAAATCAGAGATGATGTCATGTGTTCCTAAACATAGTCTTGATCCTGATTTTAAAAAATGTCTGTACTTTTTTTTTTAGCATATTAGGTATTTGAGATATTCTCATTTTGTATTTTTAATTTTGACCGATAGAAGCTCGCGCAATATGGATTTTACCACACATTGTAATTTATAGGTGTGACGCTTCTGAAAAAAATTCCCAATATATTGGCATCTTGTTGCCAAGCAATAATTCAACTGATGGGAGGAGCTTCATTTCGTCATAACATACCCTCGTCTCATCGAAAAAAAAATGCTTTGCTGCCATCTTGTGGCACATATAGGCAATTACAGATTTCTTGGCGTCAATTCTTCACGGATTTTTGCTATTTGGGCTCTATGAAGCTAGAGATGCTAGTAATATACATTTATAATAATCCAATATGTTATTTTGTCTGTCCCAAATAAATGATATCACAATCTTGACCTTGAACGTATTTTCCTCTGTGGAAAGGTTTTCCAGAAGAAACGACGGTCACCACGGATGACCGAAAAACCAAACGATTTCTATTACGAGTGTGATGAAGCACAAACGCTTCCCGTTTCAGGAAGCGGCGTCGACTGCGCGGATGGTGCAGATCTTCATTTCCATAAACACTGTCACATCACAAATTGTTCAGATTCCAAGACCTTTCTCCTTCCTTCCTGTCTGCTTAATGTTTGGCAGTCGGTGACAAGCACTGCCAAGGTGGCTCGCTACTTTTGAGCAAAGCCGTCCTAAGAATACGTATACAATAGGCCAAAAGGCTGCTACGGGTGAAGAGGAAAATAAAAGGAGTGGAAAAAAAACATCTGACGATCATGCACGGCTCTCGTTGGGTTCACCTTCTTTTGGACAATGCCAATAATGGTCTTTTTTTTTTTTTTTTTTTTTTTTTGACTTGACTTGACTTGGCCACCCATTGACTTGACTTATCCGAAGAGGCTCAGAACTGGCTAAGTGCCGCTACATCAAAAGTCAACCAACTACGACAACACAAGTACACGTCTGCCTTGACTGAATTCTATATGATACTATCTTACCTAATCAGTATTTGGTTCCGTTTTTGATGTTTCCTGAAAAAAAAAAAAAAAGACTCAGGCCATTTTTTTCCCGAAAGGTGACGATATGCCAAATTGAATGGCCCAAACTACTTGCTGTGTGTCTTCCCAGATGGGATTACGAGGGACAAGGGCCACTCCCAGTGATAGAGTCATCAAGATTGACGGTCAAACAGGATGAACTGATCAATGCTCCCCTCTCCCCCGCACACACTCTCACACACACCCGCACACACACAAAACAAGCATTGTCGCATAATCAATCAAAGCAAAAATAATGCAGATGAGACGTTGCTATGACTGGATGAGAGACAACAAGCTTTACAAAATGCGGCGACATTTGATAGGCTTGAGCAAGGCCAGGTGCTCTCGAGTGGAAAACACGTTCAAATTCATATTTTTTCAAACCGATACTAGTGCGAGTCCTCAAGCCTTGAGGACTCATCGATACCAAGCAATTGATACCACTGACACTTTTGACACATAAAATTTCTATTTTTTTTAATCACCTTTGGTTTGCCGTATCAAATTGTGCATGTGGTGGAGGCAGCTGGGAATCGCCCACACCCACCCTTCTCACACACACATACACACACACACACACACACGCATGCACACGGCCAAGCTTTCATGCAACTCTCAGCAGCTGGCAGCCTGCCACATTTCACCCTCCTCCAGCCAGCACTGGCTCATCACTGGCACACCAAATGCGACCTGTCCCATCTGGGACCCTGCGGTGTGAATTTTTAGGGTGGGATGGTTTGACAGGGGGGTCCGCAGATTCCTCTTACATGCCAAAAAGGTTCAGTGCAGTGAGAAGGCCAGAGATGTTACACCAGGACGCATTCTCACCAAAACGTGATGCATTTGTGCACTTTGACAAGACGGCGTGGACCTCCACCAAGGTCCACCCCATCCCGATAAGGGGTCTGTTTGTCTATATTTTTTTAAGCAAGGGTTAAGGTTGAAAATGGGGCGTTCAATGACAGTTTGGGGTAAAAAGTTCTGTTTCAAAACAATATCATGGTCTCAAAATAGGGTTTCGCGCCAGGGCTCTGGATTCACGTCAGCGTTTCTATCTGGAGTTCTGAGCTGTATGTCGGATTCCAAAGTATGGTTTCATAGGGTCGAATTTTTAAACAAATGTTAATGTTTCTAGGCCAGCGTTAGGTTTTCAAACTCGGCTTTCAAACCAAGATTAGGCTTTCAAAGTTTGTGGTGTCCCTTGCTGTAAACGGCCGGTACTACGTTCACAGATGCAAAAAGGGTGTCGGCCCGCACTGCACTTTATGAATAATGAAGCACCGTGGAGAAACATGACGTAAACTCTGCGGCGCTCTTTGCAGGCGGGCGGGCGGG